TGCGGAAAACTTATTCACATTGAAGCTCTTAATGATCATTATTGCAGCAGCAGCAGCTCCAACAACAAGAAGTTATGCATTTGCATTAAGATTCCACTGTTCACTATTTAAACAGTAAATAGTGATAATGACGATAATAAATCAATCGGTTTATGAATTAATTGAAACCTCATTGCGTTAGTTTATCGCAGACGGTTTTCTCATGCGATAGATAAAGAAACATGTTGGAAATTACGTCATCGGGCTATTTGTTTAAATCAATGGTACTTTGAATGGGAAGTTAAATAATGCTGTAAGTTTATTTATTTACGAATTTAAGGACATTTCAAGTGCGTAAAGTATCAATGGTGGGTGAAGATGCCCATGCACATGAGGAAGAAATGGGAAGATTAAAGCAGCAGCAGACAAAAATAAATCAACAGCCTAGAAGAATGCAAAAATATTCTAAAACAAATGAGAACGACAAGTCTATTGAACTACAATAAGTGAAACTGTTGAATTTTATAATACAAGATAAATAGACTATAATAAGAAAGCCCAGCTGAATAGGCATAAAATGATGGGAAGCGTACGTTCGTTACATTTTATATGGTGCTTTTATAAATTTAAAATTGTTTACTTGTACACTGGACTCATCTGCATTAAATGCCTCAGAAGGGTTTTCTCAATACAGTTTTTAAATAGAGTCAACAACTGAAGTTTCTTTCTATTTGTTTCCTTTCGACACTAACAAGTCACGAAGACCATAAAAATGGGATAAAGTCAAGTCTGTTAGGTTACAGATTACAACAAAAAACAGACATAAATATTTTTTTAGGTGGAAGTTGATGTTTTCGAAAAATTCCAATTTCTCCAAAAGCCCAAATCACCGTAACTTCGCATAATTGGGAAGCTCTTAAGGTCAAAAGCAGTCAAAAATCTTGCATGGTCAATTTTAATTTTTTTCCGGAAATTTCATACGGTCGAGGTCGATCATTTAAAAAAAAATCAATTTTCTCCAAACATGCATAATGTGCATTTGGAAGTAAGTAATTTTCCAACAGCCAAAATACATTGAAGTTTTTCGTCCTTCCTGTGTTGTATTTAATCCTTCTTATTGTCCTTCCTTTATTTTTCTGGAACTTGAACAGCCAAATTTTGACAAAAAATTGGCAAAAGGAACTTTTTAACACATTGTGAATATTGCCCCAAATCAACAGGAAAAGTTTGTTGAAAAAAAAACCTTGTAAAAGCTCTGTAGACGCAAAATGAACAACTTCAAAGAATCAGATATTCAGATAAAAATCGGACTATTACGAAATGAAAAACTGCACATCTCCCTAATCAAATTATTCAGAAGACTCTTGAAAAGAAACAAAAGAAGCTGTTCAAATACCGAAAAGTATCACCAAAAAAAAATGAACAAAATGCAGCAAGACGACATTAAAGGTGAATGGAACTATCAAAGCCGAATTCTTCTCACAGATTCAAAAAGGCTTCAATTTCTTTGTCAATTCTTGACTCAAAACTGCTGAAACATACAAAGTCAGTCTCTGTCCTGTTAACAACAGACAATCAACCTTAACTTATTATGAACCATAAATTGGAAGAAAAGCAAATAGTTTGAGAACATGGCGTCTCGTCCCTGACTCGCAGATTATATTATTTATCATAAGATAAACTAAATATAGATATTATGTTATCGTGGCAGATAAGGATCATTCAATGAACTTTTCATTACAAAGGCGTGTATTATTGAACAATTCTTGCGAATTCAATTGCCGGTCACGCTTGAGAACGATTCAAATTCGAATTTATTCGTTGATCAGTTGCAAATATTTGATGTTTTTGCCTGAAATTTGCAGTAAAACTCGCAATCAAACCAGATAAACTTAGTTTGCAAGACGCCAGGCGCCATCATGAATGGTGTTATCTAATCCATGCGATTAAATCTGCTAAGTATGGAATTTCTAATGAGTAAGGAATATTATGGAATGTTTTTCTACCTTGGTGCAGATCTTGCGTCTGCTGTGTCTTTTATAGAAAAATGATGAATCAATAATGATGAATTATTCAACGCAGCAAAAAAATCGCATAGAAGGTCAACTGATTTGCCTACATTTCATTGTAAAATTTTATCTGTCCGTGACAAATTTATGCTCGAAATACATGTTGAAATAGTTGTTAATCATTGGATAGCCATCGGTGAATTTTTAAGGACAGAAATCCGCTCCAAATGAAACATTTCCGCGCTTTTGAATTTTAATGCATTTGAAATCAACAGCAAAATAAATCTTTTATTTTAGCAAGACGCCGAGAAAATGAAACTGTTCAAATCACCACTGAAGACGTCGTGGAGTCATGCTAGCAAAACTTTAGGAAAATAATTTTCCTTTTAGGCCTAAATCTTCTGAAAACTCATCAGTTTGAGTCACTGGCCGCAGCAGTTTAACTACACGTTGATGAAATGTAAACGGCCATTTATGCATACTGCATTAAAACTGCAAAGCCCAGTTTTTTCTAGACTCCAAGCATTTTTATATGAAAATTGTACTCATCATAAATTGGATCGTACATCATAAGCAATTCGGTTTATCGCATGATGTAATTCGGTAAACAAATAGCGCTAATACAGCGAATGAATGAATTTTATTTGATGGCCTCATTTGAAAGAGACATGAGAAATAGTGTATTCCCCTTGGTAAACACCAGCAGCAAGTTCATTTCGATTAAATTTCGGATATTTAATCATGTTTGGCGGACTTTGAGAGCACTTAATCTTTAATACTGTTTGCCGGATTTATGATGAAGCTAAAAAACTCAGCAAGCCATAAAGACAACAAACCAGACAGGCCAAGCGCAAAAACAATAACTCCGGTCTTGATTTTCGATCCCAAGAAGGCACTGAATTATTAAACCAGATATACGGCTTCCAGTTTGGCCTGAGCTTTGTCCGTATTTAGGCCCACTCGATTTTCCTTACTCGGTCAATTACTTTCGATGACCTCTGGACTGTGTTTTTATGGCTGCTTGGACAGGTTTTAATAAATACACCCGAACCGAAAAGGGCTCGACTTCATTCCGGTGGAAACTAATAAGACAATGGCGAAGCGATGCTCAAGCACAACAGTGTTTTCCCGGAATTTTCCCCATTTTCTCTTGGTAGTTGAAAGCAAATATTTTCTTGTTCCAATAGAGTAAAGCATAGAGTAAACCCAGCCTTTGAAACGCAAAAGTGCATTAAAGTAGCTGGCCCGTGGAACCTGCGGCAACATTCCATGCTAAGAGACACCTCAAGTATGCGACCCTGGACCTTTGGCTGTGACCCCCTTCGAATTATGCAAAAGGGGCTGTTGAGAAAGGTCTGAAAGTCGACTTTGGAATGCGAAACTCCCGGTTGGTTTTCAGTCTGCCGGAAAATCGCGAGTTTTGCCCATTTCCTACAAAGTTTTTCATTTGGCCACTATCGATTTCGATTTGTATACGTATATGTATTTCTTGAGCCTAATTGAATAATTGCTGATATTTTTAATAAAATTGGCAACCATCTAAGTCTGACTTGATCGGGCCGAATTGCATCCATAAATTCAGGTGACATCGTCAGTTTTAATCCCTCATTAAGTACGGGCCGCAACGTTGTCGAACGTTCTGACACCAAAATCGTTATCCGACTATTAAATTTCCCCTTAACTGCAATTTATTGGCAACTTTTCATCCCCAACACGCGTTCGCCCAGCTTCCGTTATGTAGTCATTAGTTATACATTGTGCGCCAAATTTGCTGTTCTTGGTTTATCAAAGTTACATTTTTCAAAAGTGACATGCGTATTTTTCCAACCCGCTGCTTTAAGCTCATTTGTGTGCGCTTCTAAAGGTGCCATTGAAGTGGGATGTTACAAAACGCATAAAAAACTCAATGGATGAATATGGATGTTCAACGAAAAAAAATCCGCGAAAGCTTTTACGTTTCAAATGCAGTTTTAAGATGCCTGAATTGTCTCAAACTGATGGAGCTGGAGGCAGATTTGTTCGGGCAAACTTTAGAATTTATAGCCCAAAATGCGCTCAGCGGATCATTTGTCGAATCTTTAAAGAAACGCTTTTGTCTCTTATGCGCTGTTCTGTTGGCGTTAGGCCGATTGATACTCCAAACCAACACAATATTTAAAATCCTAGTTTTTTGATTTTTGACCTAAAGATTCATTAACTGCTAGCAAAGCTTCAAAGTCGAAATATCCAAAATGTACCCAAAGGATGTTCAATGAAATAAAATCCGCAAAATATTTGCGGTTTCAAATGCAGTTGAGTTTTAAGATGCCTGAATTGACTCCATCCGGAGCTGGAGGCAGATTTGTTCCGGAAAACTTTAGAATTTATAGCTCAAAATGCGTTCAATTGATCACTTCCGGATTCCTAAAAAAACCTTTTATATTTCAAACTGCTTTGGCAAAATTGTGCAGAATACAACCGCAACATTTAGTGCTTTAACTGATTAAAAATTAATTGATTTTTGCCCTGAAAAAGTCATTAATTTCCAGCAGAACTGCAAAGTCGAACTAACCAAAATTGAAGGTGTGAACCGAATCGACATTTCTTCGTTTTTCAGCGATCGAACTGGTTAAGCCATAAATATTCTCGAAGATTAAGGAAACTTCAGCCATCTGATGGCAAGTGGAGGTTGGCATTAAATTTGTCGCCACCGCCAACAGGAAAATCATCGGGGATAATCGAAAGCTATAGCTGATAATGAGATGTCTTCACGGACGGAAAAATATGAAAAAGGCGGTTTTAAAATAAATTGCGCTCTGCCAATTCGAACCTCAATCACTAGCCGAAAAAGAATCAAAACTAGTTGAAAATTAAAACATTAAATAAATAATCTGCCATCGATTGTTGGTGGCAAACCAAACCCCCGAAATCCACTTTTCGAGTTATCTTTCTGGGCCTTTTCCCCCGAAGCTTCGCTTGTCAGAACAGATTTGCCATCGGCAAACCGTCGAAACAAAATAATTGCCGATAAAGTCTCCCTTCTTTTCAGATTCTTCCGTGATGAGCTGAAAATAAGATGCTTCGATGCGTATTCTCAGTCGCATCAGTTCTCTGTCTCTTTGCTGTGTCCACCAATCAAGCGACGGAAGATGGCTTGTTTCCTGGAAATGTCGCTTTCCACTTCACCGCTCCACTCTACAATGTCAGCATACCGGAAAATAGCGTGGCAAAGACTTATGCCACGCAAAGTCCAGGGGCGCCCCGCATGGGGGTTCCGGTAACACTCAACACCTTCACTGATATCAGGTAAGTTTGGGTTTTTATGTAAAACAGCTACGGTTTTCTGAGTTGTGAAGTAGCTTCAAAATTTGTTCAAATTTTCCAAAAAAATAGTTCATTTTTCAATGTGAAATTCTACTGAAAACCGTTCCAAGTGAATAGCAAAATGCAATTTTTTTCTTTGTTAGTTTGCTAATCAGATGCAGGGCAAAACTGAAAAGTTGCTGATGTTAACTGCATAGTTTAGCTGCTTTACCACTGAAAATATTAAGAAAGTGATAATACAGTTGTAGTAGATAAAGGTGTAGATCAAAAAATAATCAAGAGTATTAAAAAGGTTACAAGATAAACTTGTGTTTTTGCAGATTTTGACACTTCTTGCTCTACTTTTCCTGACATGATTCTTTTCGTATATTTGTTTTTAATCTCTACTCCTTTATAGGTAGCGATGGCAATTATTCCAAAAACAATAGACCATTTCGGTGGCCAACTCGTTTGCCGGATTTAACTCCCTTAGATTTTTTCTTGTAGGGATTTGTGAAAAATAAAATATGACGTCGAACGCATGGCACCAAAACTAATAAAAAAGGCTTAGAAAACTTGAAGTTACCAATTTTCCAGTTTTGCTCTGTATGTCGTTAACAAGTTAACAAAGGAAAGGTTAAAAAGCGCCATGTTAAAAATCTCCCAAAAAACGACTGATTTTGACCACTCTGTACTTTGAAGAAATCTCCATATTTCAATATCTATATCTATTACTTAGTTTAGACGATTTTTTCCATGTAAAGATGCTTCATAATTGAGCTCTACCCAAATTTAAAGTTTCCCCAGCATTGTTTGAGCTGTAGAGGCTGGTGTCATTTTCATTATAAACACTTAAACAAAATCTTGCACATTTTCATTCTTTTGCTTCCACCAAAAAAAAACATCGTATATTTCATGCAAAAAATTAGAAAAAAAACCCTCGAAGACACTAATTTAAAACGAAATAGTTGACTTTGAGCAAACAAGGTAATTTTTTGCAGATATAAGATCCTGGGAGGCAACAGGGATCTCTTCTTCAAAGCAGAACATCGTTTGGTCGGCGACTTCTGTTTCCTCTTTATCCGAATAAAAACCGGCAATAACGACGTTCTAAACCGGGAGAGAAAAGACAAATATATTTTACAAGTACGAGCTACTGCCAACATCAAGGAGGGAAACCCGAAGGTGAGAAAAAGCGGAAGAATTATTGAAAAAAAAAACACAAAAGACAAAAGATAGATTTTAAGTTTGAGCGTACACTCTGGGGTGTTGCCTCATACGTTGACCCTTTCCTTAGGTCATTCAAGTCAAAAAATGGTGAAAAGAGGGAGAGGCAAAAATCTGATATTAAAATTAAAAAATAAAAGACGTAAAAGTGAAAATTTTCAGACAGGTTTAGAGGATTTCTTCTCCTGATTTGCAAAATACATATATGTAGATAAGTTCTATATTGTTGAGGCGGATTCATGTTTTTACAAACTTCTTTTTGGGCATTTCGCTTCAAAAATGTTTGTCTTTAAAAAAGACAGAATTTCCTCACGTCTTTTATTACAGATTGATAAATAGTGCTCCTATTTCGCAATAAGA